ATCTAATTCCAGACATGATATTTACCACAAGTATCTGGAGACAGTGATATAATTATTTTGCTTCTGTATTCAAGTATTACTATAACAAATAGAATAATAAACATGCAATACATATCCACAAATGAATGCATTAATATAAAGCCTTGAAATTGTGCCAGCTTTTTGAAATAAATTACAAAAATTATTTTTGTTTTCATGCGAGTTAAGAGACAGTTCACTTAACTAATTTTAGCTGAAAGGATCATCAATGTCCTTGTTGTAGAAGAGAGAGGAATAAAAGTATGTTCACTAGAGTGGGAGAATTGTCACTCTGATATCCACATGAGGAGGAGGTAGGAACTTCACTTCTGAGAGCATATTCATACTAGAAGCAGATAAACCTAACCAGCCCAGGAAGCCAACTGTGCCTTGGACTGCATCCAAAGCAGCGTGGGTAGCAGGTCAGGGGAGGAGGTTCTGCCCCACTGCTCCACTCTGGTGAGACCCCACCTGCAGTGCTGCATCCAGCAGCATCTTGGGTCCCCAGCACAGCAAGGACATGGAGCTGTTGAAGCAAGTACAGAGGAGGCCACCAAGATAATTAGAGGGTTAGAGAATCTCTCCTATGAGGAAAAGGTGAGAGAATTGTGCTTGTTCAGCTGGGAAAAGAGGAGGGTTTGCAGACGTAGTTGCAGCCTTGCAGTACCTGAGGGGAGCCTATAGGAAAGATGGACAGAGACTGCTTACATGGGCAGCAATAATAGTTTTAAACTGGAAGAGAGTAGGTTTAGATTAGATGTTAGGGAGAAATTCCTTACTGTGAGGATGGTGAGGCACAGAACAGGTTGCCAAGAGAAGCTTGGTAATGTGGATGCCCCATCCATGGGAGTGCTCAAGGCCAGGTTGGATGGGACTCTGAGCAACGTGGCCTAGTGAAAGGTGTCTCTGCCCACAGCAGGGTGATTGAACTAGATCATCTTAAAGGCTTCTTCCAACCCAAGCCAGTCTATGAAACTAATGATGCTTCACTAAACATATGTAATGATATCGTTAAAGGCAGACAGGCAAAACCCTCCAGCAACATCCAGTCAGTACTGCTGCAGTGAATTAGAGCTATAGACCTCAGTAGTTTTATAAGTATACATTCTTTTGCAGAATCTGAAAATATTGGCTTCCCTTCTCACATAGTAAATGTTGTTAGCATGTATCTGTTTATATGCTGACCTTTGAAAAGCAGATTTACATAATGCCAAGTGATACGCACAAGGGCTGTTGAACAATTCAATCTCACAAAAATAATGTTTTTTACAAAGATATCTACTAAGCAGCCAAAAAAGTCTCTCTAAAACGTTAAGCAAATAAAATAATAAATACATCCAGATATTTCAAATAATTAAAATTACTATTTAAAGAATTTTGCTGTGATTAATTTTTTTTTTAACATGCCTATCCTATTCTATGCCACACAGAAGAAAAATACAAATTCTAAACTGTGATATCCCCTGAATTATAGAAGGGTAAGAGAGGCTCATCATACATGGGGTGAAAAGCCTTGATGTATCTACAGCTCTGTGCAGGAAGGGCAGATATATAGATAAAAATGAGAGAAAACTCAAGTATGAGAAGAGAGATCAGCTTCTCAAAGCCATTGCAAGTTTTTAATGTACATTCGTGTTTGCAAGACAAGATGCTGTTGTTGATACTTTTCAATACTGTTGTTGATACCTCTCCTTAAGAATGTTAAGCCCATTGGAGAATGAGACCTCCTGCATGCTACAGCAAGAGCAGCTGCCAGGGTTGTGTGCAGTGGGTGTTTGCCAGAGGGCTTCAGGTTTTCCTCTGTACTGGTCCCAGGAATGGGTGTTCCCCTTGCACACTTCTTTGTACTGGACATTTGTGAGGAAAATGTGTTTAATAGCAACCCTCAGTTCTGTTTGCCTTGTACTTCTTTATCACTGAAACTTTTGGAAAGTTACTTTTGCATTATTTATCTGAGGTTTTTCTATTCCTTTTGGTTGACACTTCTATAATGATATGCCAGGGAAGGTGAGACAGCCAAAGCACATAAAATGACCTTGTCAGGTGTTTTTCTTAAACAGTGAGAGGTAATTTATTTTGTAGCTTTTAGGTTATGCTCCTGCCTGACATCAGTGCTGATACTCATCACCAAATGTGTGCCCTGCAGGGTCACTGATGTTTTAACTGTTCCTTCTTCATCTTATCTCCTGTAGAATTTGTGACCATGTAGCTCTTCTGATTTTACAGGGTATTTGGAGTGGTTTTTGCATCATATGCCTTTTTTTTTTTTTTTTTTTTTTTTTTTTTTTTTTTTTTTTTTTTTTTTTTT